AATCCCAGCACCTGGGAGACAGAGTCAGGCAGACCTCTGTGTGTTTGAGGCCAGCCTGGTCTACAGAGCTAGTTCCAGGACAGCCAGGGCTACACAAAGGAACCCTGTCAGGAAAAAAAACAAAGGGGAGGGGTTGACTAGAGGTGCCCTAGATAGGAAGATAGCACACCTCCCAGAACCTTAGGTTAATAAAAATCCAAGTGCCAAATGCAGACTGTTTCCCTATGAGTTGTTGGTCAGGGAGGTCCCAGAGGTCTCAAAACAATACAGACCACTGCTATTGCTCTTGGCCACCACCAGTACTTGATGGCAGAACCCTTTTAATAAAGGTACTATATATTACATACTTTGGTCCAAGGACATGAAGAAATCAAGCTTGTCCTGATCTGGTAGCTTCTTCTATGTTGGCTAATTTACATAGTGCCAGAAGGTGCTATGTAGGCTGCTGGAGGAAAAGGTCATCAACGATCTTACCTAAATGTCAACTCTTCAAAGCACAATAATCACCAGCCCAGCCAGGTGTGCCCGCTGGTGCAATGATGGCATGAGAGTTGTGGGGGTAACCAACCACTTTCTGATAGGATTTCAGGCCTCCTCCACGGGAAAGAACTCATGCCTGGTACTGTAACCCTGTTCAAGGATCTGTAGCTGGGGAGGTCATGGGCCCTAGATGAAAACCTACTACTATTATTTTGCTAAGTGGACATGGCCTTCTCCATATTTATCTCTATACTTCATAGGTAGTTCGGCTCTCAGCCCTCATCAAACAAGCTTTCCTCAGTGGACTACAGTTAATCCAGCAACTCATAACTGGCCAAGTGCCAAAAATAAATAATTGTGGAGTTCTTGGTTTTAAATAAAACATCTATGTCATGCCTTTCCACCAAGGCTCGGGGAACATCGTAGAAGAGGCGAGTGAAAAGATTGTAGGAGCTAGAGATCGGGGAGGATTGCTTCAAAACAATGTCATCTGGATATAACACAACCAATGCATTCACAAACTCATTGTTGCTATGGTTACTTGCATAAGACCTGCACAAGATTGAGCCTGTCAACATTTTATCAAAATAGGAATAAGGGCTCATGAGCCCTCCCCTTCTTCCAGTCACCATTAGCCTACGGTAGCCCTGAGGGAAGGGTGTCACATGCTTCAGTGATGTAACAAGTACAACACTGCCCATACTCCAGTATGTAACCTACCCTTGCTCAACTAAGCAACCTTACTTAAACTCAGTGGATTACATACACACAAGACATGGAAGTAGGAGAAGTTTTTTTTTTTTCTTCGAAGAATAAAGGCTTCAGGGGGTGGAAGATAAGGGAATAAAACATGTTAATAAGGGATTAAAAATCACCAAAATTCACACATACATGTATGAAAATGACAAATTAAAAAAGTAAGTTTTTAAAGATAGACTTCTGCAGTCACAGTAGCCATAAAGAAGATAAAGAAGGCTTGAGTTTTTATTAAAAAAAAAAAACCCCAAGAACACAGAGTACATCTGAATTTTCAATGCCTATGTGTTCAGAACTCTCCATAAGTGAAATCCTATGTACTCAAGCCCATATTACTCAAGTATATGTTCATATTTTTACATGACCCAGTTTCTTGACAATATTGGCTGTTGAGTTTTTTTTTTTAAATCACCTTGCATTTGGTAGTTACTTTTAAAAAAAGCTTTCTATTATGTATACTAACTATATAAAACAATAGTTCCCTTGTGACTTTTGTTTTGAGAAAGGGTTCCACTCTGTAGCCTAACTTACCTTGGAACTCAGTAGCCCATGCAAACCCCAAACTCATGACAATCTTTCTGCCTCAACCTCTTGATGTCAGGGTTAGAGGAAGAAGTGTCATGCCTGGTCATTGATTGGGACATTTTCACACATAAATATCACATTCTTTTATCATATTCGCTAGTAGTGATTATCTGCAGAAATCATGATGTTTAAACACCAGTTGTAATGTTATATGACTCAATTCACAGTATACAGTACAGAAGCTAAGTGGGGGAATATAGGCAGCTTTGAATTCTTCTCTTGCCTCTGTGTCCTCAATAATAAATCCATGTGGATGCCTGTTTCTGGCTCTTCTTAGAATAAATAAAGCAGAACTCAACACGGTGGTTATACAAATTCAATTAGAACATGAACCTAAAACCCAGCATTTGGCACTTGTTAAATATCTGATAAAAGCTAACTGTGACACACACACACACACACACACACACACACACACACACACACACACACCTACCTCTAAGCAAAACCTTCCTACAAATTCCTTCAGGTTCCTCCCAAACTCAGAGAAGAGCCCTTGTCAGCATCTTGGGGTAGACATTCTATAAACGAATGGGTAAACAAAAGAAGAGGACTTTATAAACCAGTAGCCAATCGGGATGTACTCTTCTCACATTACCTCAAGGTAGTTTGAAAGTGGCTTCATGAGGTAGAATCTATCATTTAGTTTTCCTTGCTCGGGCACCTCAGGTTTGAGAGTTTCACTTGGACCTGGGCATGGTCGCTCAGACCTGTAATTGCAATTGCAGCACTTGGAAGGTGAGTAGGAGAAGGCTTGCTGCAAGTTCAAGGTTTACCCGGGCTACATTTTGAGATCCTGTCTAAATTTCCTCTCCTAAAAAAAAAAAAAAAAAAACTTTGATGGCATTGAATAATCCGACTATTTCCTCCTAATTAAAAGCAGGTTTTTACTTGTTCAATTAGGCTTAAAGTATTCCAAAAAATCTCTCCTCTGTTACTTTCATTCAGATTAGATAACAACAGTTGACAATAACTGGTTGTGAGCTGTGAAAATTCAGATACAAAGTAAAACACTTGCATATCTAAATAAATATACACAAACACCCTAGACTCTAAACTGAAGAGGCTAGGGCCTCTGCTGCTGTATTCGCAGTGGTCATATTCTCAGCACTCGCCTCAGCCAACAGTCCTACTTAGTGGAAATGTGCCTAACTTTCTCAGCCCACAAGAATTTATCAAATCCTAGTTATGTGTTAGACATCATATTTTGTGTCATGTAATCAAAGCAACCAAAATAGAAAAGGCCCTGCTCTCATGAAGTTTACATTCTAGAAAATACTTGGGTGACAGGGAGTGATAAATGATGATGAAGAAAAGTGATGTAATGACTGGGAGATGAAGTGGAGTGTGAAGAAAACCCTAGCATCAGGGCTTGAAAAAAAATCACTTTGTTTAAGGATGGTAATTTCACCTCTTTGCATTTTTATTTTGAAAAGTTCATGTGAGTTCAGGGGAGGTAATTAAAGCTTTGATTTTAGTTGAGAGGGAATTAATGAGTTTGTAAAATAAACTCCCCCTTTCTCTAGGGGAAGTTGTCTTCATACTAGCTCCATGCGCCCTGTCTGTGGGCTCCAGTAGACTCTGCGTTCATTGACTAAGAACATTGCTGCTTTCTGACCCATACCTCTCCTTAAGTCCGCTTGACCAGGCTAGATCTTGAAGCCCACTGAATGTTCCTATTCTGTAGACAACTATGAACTATGGGACAATTTATGAGGTGGGGTAAAGTGCACTACAGAGTTCATGTATAGAACCTGCCATTTGTACAAACAGCATTCAGTACACTCTAATTCTTGAGGTAGTAACAGAGACTCCCTTCTTGCTTTATTGATTTAAAAAAAAAATGTCTTTGAATTCCTAACCATACCTGTTAGGTGTTCAGTGTGTTTCTTGCTTCCTCCCCTAACACTTGGTAAAAAGGATGTGTGAATATACGTACATGGACATATATGTATGTATATGTGCAAGCTGGTTCATGGCTTGGTTTTATTTTCCTAATCAAGTGCTTATATCACAAAAGTTTCATAAGTCTTTTGGTTCTTATTGCTGTAAGCATCACAGGCATCTTCAAGTTTCCTTCTTGACACATCTTTTGCAAAGTCTTCCCTTGACCTGGCTGATGTCTTCAGACCTGGCAGACGGGTTGATTTTTGCGCAGACTGCCACTTCAACGCACAGACCCGATGGCTCTTTGCAGAGCCGATTTTCAGGGCAAGAGAAGAAATGAATGTGTTCATTTATCAGTGGGGAAATATTTATACCATTGCTGTGCTCTTCTCTATCCATCAGGTTGCTGGTTGTGACTACGGAATATGCCAGCATGTTTTCTCTTAAGCAGGTTTTTGTCTGAAACTGTTGGGAAGTTATTTCCCTGCCTAACATTATTTTCTCGTTTTACTCATCTCCGATGTGTTACAGGAAATCCTTCACGCCTAGTGATTGCTATTTCCTTCTTTAAGGCCCTTTACAAATGGAAACGCTGACTGCCGGAGGATCCTTTTAGTTTTATTCTTCCTGTCATACACTCAGCTGAAGCAGATGGGCATCTGAGCTGAAGGAGCGAGTGGAGGGTAAGGAGAGGAGGGTGCCCTGTTGGCTACAGGCTCCTGCTGTCTGCTGGCGAGCCGGTCCGGGTTAAAACCAATGCAAGGGTCAGCGCCGCCCTCTGAGTTGGGGGCCCTCGGGCAGAGTCGCCAAGCCTCCTCCTCTGCTTGACCAGAGCGTCCAGCAGTACCATTTCCCCTAATAGTGAGGAACCACCTAGTTTGTCGCGATCCGCTGGTTATTGCTCTGCCTAGCTTAGCTCCGGCTCCTGAGCGTGGGGCCCCACGCAGGCTAAGCTCAGCTGGCTAGAGGAGAAGCCCAGACCTGGGGCTGTAGAGGGATGAGGGGCTGGGAGCCGGGGTAGGGGGATTTCCTCCCGCGCTCCCCTCTCCAACGGGAGCGGAAAATGTGATTTGCTGTGCATTCCAGGCGCGGTTCCCTGGGGTGACCTCTCCCACCCAGCCGGGCGGGGGGAGTAGACAAAGAGGCGAGGCGGGCGGAGAGGGGACCCCGCAGGGAAGCAGGAGGGGTGCAGTGGGCGGGGGCAGTACCGGGAAAAGGGGCGGATAGCGGGTCCCGCGGCGGCGACGGCGCCTGACCAATGGAGAGACGCCGCCCCGGGAGCCGCGCTTAGCCGGCAGCATTTAAACCGGAGACCCGGAGATGCTCGACACTCGGTACGCCCTTCGCGGACCTGCAGACCTAGTGCACCGTGGTAGCGTCGCTCTCTGTCGTTCCTCTCGCGCCGAGCCCGAGTGGCTCAGGCCGCGGTCGCACGCAGGGCCACGTGTCCACAGAGAAGGACCCGAAGACCCACGGCACTGACAGGTGAGCGCAGTGGCACTCGTGTGTGTGTGTGTGTGTGTGTGTGTGTGTGTGTGTGTGTGTGTGTGTGTGTGTGTGTGTGTGCTCGTGCGCGCGATCTGGTACCCAGGCTAGTCAAGGGATCCCCAGGGTCCATACCACCCCAGTTCCCTCAGTTGCGGCGCAGCCTGTTGGTGCACCAATGTCCTGGGGTCCCCTGGGGTGCGCTTTGAAGAACCCGAGTCTGGTACTTCCTGCCTTGGAAGTAGATACGCGGTGACTTCGGGGCGCTGGGTCTGTGGAAAAAGGTAGGGAGAGGGGATGTCAAGAGCGTGCATCCTGTTTCCACTTGCCGGAGCCCAGTAAACACCGTCCTGGTGCTTGAAGCACAGCCGGCGAGAGTCGCCTGCCAGGACACCGCACAGAGTTGCCGGGGTCGGAGCCCGAGAGCCGGGTATGTGTGAGAAGAAGCCGACCTGGCTGCAAGTTGCAACCAGAGACAGCGTTGAGGATTGGACGCGGGGCTGGGAATGGGACGTCTGTAGGAGCGGCGGTCCCATGGGTGGTGAGTGGTAACTGCTGAGGACTTGAGAATTGGTGGCATGTGCGTTTGCGGGTATGGCAGATGTGATGGAGAGTGGTAAGAGAGAATCCTCCAGGCTCAACAACCGCGAAGAGTCAGGGATCCGATGTCTGGAAGCTAGAGTGCTTTGCCGCCCGCGGTGTTCCCGCGGCACGCGCCACACACTCGTATGCTAGTTGTGCGCAGGCCTGAGCGTGGCTGTCTGTTCTGAGCCTCTTGGGTTCCACGCTCTCATCCGTCTTACTGCAGACGTGCAGGCGCCGGGCAGCCACCAGCGGCTGGTTCCTACTTCCGCGGATGCCGGCCGATCTGTACCCAACAGGCACTCGTCTCGCCTCGCTGCACCTCGCTAGCAACTCTGCTCTAATGTCCGCATCGCATCTGCTCGTTACCGACTGCCTGGCCCATTCCAGCGAGCCCTCTCTAGCTCCTGGTGGAAGGCTAGAGTGAAGAGGAAGTCCATGTGGCTGTCATCTCCCTGGTCCTAGCTTTTTGCAGAATTCTAGTTTGGGGAGAACAAACTCACTACAGGTCTGGACCGGCTGCTTCCCCTCTGGCACGCTTCAGCTTAGTGTTTTCCTATGCCCGGCTCAGGCGACGAGGATCCACCAGCAAGGCTGGCGAGAATGCGAGGTGATCAGCCTTCGCTGGGAGCACCTTCTGAGAGCCTAAGCTGGCTCGCTGGTCTAACTCAGCAGCCGTCTTCCCCTCCTCAGCCGAATCCAAATCCCTACTCTTTGATGGAGAAATATAGCCTAGAAGTGAGGGGTTAAAATCTCCTCTTAACTGTTGGAAGGCAGAATGACGACCATCAGTAGGTAATTGGATCTCTTGGTGGAAAGAGCAAACCCAAGCGGTGCGCACGTCTGTTTATGTTCCCCTGAGATGGTGCCAGGATACGAATTGATTAAAACAATCTATTGTGTTCAATGGGTCACCAGGGCTTTAAGCTGTCCCTGCGACTCCAGAGTGGTGGTTTCCTTCTGACTGCTCTTACAAGTTAAATAAATAGCGTAGAAGAGGTTAAGATAACCCCATCTCAGGGTGAAGAGTCTTCTTTCACCCCAGGGCTGCCCTCCCCTCCCCCCTTTTTTCTTTTTGGGACGAGGCAGGCGGCATAGGGGACTTGGGAGTACAGACTTTTCAAAGCAAAGAGGGGAAAAAAGATCTTAAGAAAACAAGATCCTCCCTCACCACCACCCCAACCAAGTCTGTAGATGTGGGTGCTTCCATTACTCTCGGTGGATACATTGCACAGTTGGATTTGTTAGAAGTTACTAATTATTTAAGGGTTGTGTGTGTGTGTGTGTGTGTGTGTGTGTGTGTGTGTGTGTGTATGTTTAACCCCTAGGTCACTGTAGGAATTAGAGTCTTTTGTAAACTTTGTAATTTCACAGCTTTCCCATTTTCTTTAAAGTCCACTTAGAGTGAAATGTTTTGGTAACCTACAATCTGTAGGAAATCCAGGCTGGCTAATGTGGCTTTCACACCAGTGCACATACAGGGGAGAACAGAAACATATTAAGTCCCCACATCTCTCAATGTCTACCTCCTGCCCTTCTAAACTGAAGCTCTCCCCGACCTCCGTCTTCATGGTACAGCATTTAAAGTGTTAGAATACAAAGAAAGCCCATACCCTAGACTTCTCCTCAAGAAGTGCTTGGGGACAGCAAAGCTGTGGGCTATGTTCCAAAATGCAAAGTCAAAGATGCAGAGGAAAACTCGAGCCTTTTATGTCAAGGGAAGAGAGGGAGGCAGTTAGGAGCACTGACTGCAGATCTAACTGAAAGGCACTGACCAGGCAAGTGCTACCAGCCCATGTCTTACATCTGCAAAGAATTTTCTTTAGTTTTAACATATGTTCTTAGAAATGCAAAGTACAACAGGAATTCCTGTGACAAGAGAAGTCTTTTCCTTTGCATGCAAACACGAAGATACAAAATAGATAATTATTAGATTTACAATATTCTTCAAAATTTATTGCATTAGAAAGCAAATCCACATGTTCCTTGTTAAATGTACTGTGCTGGATGTCACTGGCAAAGTGACTAAGGACATGTTTGGGGTTAGACACAACTGGGCTCACATCCTGGCTATCCACTTTATAAACTATGTGACCTTGGATGGATTCCTGGTTAATAACAGGAAGACATTATTATATACCTCATATTTTATCATGACATAACATGAACAGTATTTAGCATAATGCTTGACATAGTAAGGGCTCAAAAGCAAGAGGTACCTTTTATTACTAGTGGTTGTGTTGGGCAGGAGAGACCCAAGGGTGACTTTGAATTTAAGCCCAAATTCCACTTTATACTTACATAGCTTCTATTACAAAATGCAGCATATAGCTTGGCCATCACTCAATAGTGCTATTTGCTGGTTATATTTTCTAATTCATTTCTTGTTGATACAAATATTGTCTACAATTATTAACCTCACTAAAAATACATTTTCTAGGGAACTATGGACATTTGACCACCAGGTGTCTCCTTCCCACCCTGGGTGGTGTTGGGTTCCAGCCTGACTTAACCTGAATAGGCGGGTTATAGTTCAGAGATTGCAACACGCAGGGAATAAAATTTATGACGTGTGCCAATCATTAATTTTTCTTATCTTCTTGGCGTAACTTGTCTGAGAAATAAATCAACCTTTATTCTTATTGAGGAATTCTCTAGTTAATTTCTAAAGGTTGATTCTCAAATTCAAAATTAAAGATCTAACCAAAATTAACTTCCACTCTTCCTAAAGATTAAGGCTCAAGGGAAAAGAAAGGAATTCTTTGACTGTCCGGCTGGCCCATAAAGGATCTGCAGTCAATTCCATTGTGTTTTATGTCGGGAGAATGAGCTGATGTCATTCTCGTCGCCTGTCTTTCTAAGGGTTGTTCAGCAGCAACAATGGACCGGTTCAGGTGCAGACATCTGAAGTTCACTGCAATTCTTACCAGAAACCCTGCTTTTCTCACTGAGCAGGTTGCTTGGTTAATGTGAAAGACACAGTGAGAAATGTGCTGAAAGGAACCGGCTGGTCCTGGATTCCCAAAGCACATCAATAACATTGGAAACAAGTCATACACACTATTTGAATTTCCAAATTTCCAGACTCTGAAGACTGTTCTTAGTACTTTTGTGAAATTTCTGATAAATTACCAGGGCAGAGGTGATTACCATGGCATATCTTACTTGTAGGTGTTCATTCTTGAACACCTAGGGAATTGGGAACAAGTGGGAGGCGGTGAAGACCTGTTTTGAGGATCTGTCCACTGCTTGGAGGAGGGCAGTGGCAAAAGGAAAGAGAGAGGAGGGGAAAGTGAGGCTTGCTGTCAGAGAGCTTCTCAGAGAAAGCTCACCTCGAAGTGTTAGCACATCACTTCACAGCAGAAATGCATTAAGAGGATGTTAAGGTGGAGGGGATGAAGGAAGATACTGTCTTTAAAGGAGAACCAAGGGAGATGCTTGCTGGGTGTCATGATACACCCTGAGTTCATAGGATGCTGCTGAATGTAATAATGTGAACAAGCAATTTTATGAATGGAAATTACCATGGAGTTAATGATGTGGCAATTCATGGGGATCTAAATCTGGACCAGCATTTGGATTGATTTTGAGTGATTCAGCGCACTGCTAAGGGTTGATGTGGAAAAAAATTGTCCTCCAGGAAATCCCATCTTCTTTATTTCCTGCACACCAGTGATACATATAAAGCTCTAAGCATTTGGTGGAAACACAGTTACAAATTCAAGAGGAAAAACCCCTAATTTTTGACTAGTTGGTAGGCGGCGTGGACACTGATTGGCAGAGCCTGGCGATGCTTCTTCCTGTATCCTTTCTCAAGTCGACCATCAGAAGCACACCGGGCATTCTACTTGACCCAGAGCACTGCTGTGGTTTCTGCTCATTGATGTTCTTGGGGGTTTTCTGTTTGTTTGTTTTTTAACTTTTCTCTGGAACACTGTAAAGTTCAAGAACTTGAAAGCCTAACAATAAACATTAAATATTTAAAAAGAATAAGCATTTTAAATGAAAAAATACTTTCTACACCCAGTAAATCTTAGTTTGAATTTTTTTCTTTTCTTTAGTGAAAAGCAAGCCTGCTGTGTACTCTTTTTTGGCTTATGTGGTACACACATGTATAGGAACAGAAAGTTTTCACAAATTAAACCCAAAACTATAGTCAACTAATTGTGAATATATTGCTTTATCACTGGGTTAAAATAAAATCCATAGTATCCTACACAGGACTAAATAAGGACTTGAGACCACTTGGAGTTTTTCTAGAAAAAGAAAGACAAGTGTTATAGGAAGCTGGCTAGGCCTGTGCTGAGTGTCAGGAACCAAAGGCCCTGTGGCTAGGTGACATGTTGATGCTAGTGATAGTATTTTTAAATGCAAAGAACAGAAACCGTATCAAATTTATGTGGTATAATAATCAACCACTTAACAAATATTCACGAACACCTTTTCAGTGTCAGTTACAGAGGGCCAGATGACGAATTAGCCTTCATCAGCTTTCAGAGTAGATATCTGTTCAATAACAGGTGTAAATATGCCAGGAGAGAACAGTTCAGTCTAGAAGCCTGAGTCCTGAGTTGGTCCGGAAAAATAAATTACAGTTTTGTGAATGGATGTTTGTAGAATGGTATGGCTCCATGGCATAAATGGTCACATGCATTCAGCATGCATCCACAGTCATCCTCAGGTTGGCCTCTGTAGTTGTGGACACTGAGGCTCTGGGCCTGAAAGAAGTGAATTGGCTTGGAGGTTATTTCTTAGTAGACGTGGAGGAAGATAGTCAACCTAGATGTAGGGTCATCTATGCAACGTTTCTCTAAAATTAGTTGTGACTGTGTTTTATTTTAGCTCTTGGCCTTTTAATTTAGACTCTGGCCCTCCATTGAGAAACTTGTGAAAATGTCTCAGATTCACTTTACAGTGCCTGGGAAACCAAGTGGTAATGGATCAAGTTACCCTGGCCTCTGGGGAAAATCTGTATTATTTTATAACTGGACTATAGTCATAAGTGATGTTTTATAAGACAAAACAAAGCAATTAATTTTTTTGTTGTTGTGTGGTGGTGGTCAACACGGCTCTGTTTAAAGAACAGTGATGTTGTAACATAAGCTGACAAAAGCCAGGGAAGCTACAGTTGGAACAGGAGTTAAATGTCACATTATCAGCTCCAAACCTGAACCTGCTCCAAAGTATTAAGTTAATGTTGGAAAAACGATGACATTTAAGAATATTTTTAATGCAACATTCAATTATCTTGGTTTGACATTAGCCTTAGGGTTGAATGGTCCTCACTTGCCAGAAGTAGTCCCTTAAAGAAGGTACATCTTACACCGCTTTTGTCTCTTAAAGATAATTGGTCTAGATAATGATACCAACTTGTCTGGTTTCTTGGAGACTGAGGTTATATTAAATGAGGTTATATTAATGTGCACTTAGTGGTTTTCACATGCAATCCTGGTATCGAGCAGAGGAAAATGGATGTTTCACAGCTGTGTTCTTGTGGACCAAACCATGGGCACGGGGCAAGGGACACCTCAGGGCACGGCCATGCCTGGAAGAGAGGATATGAATTTGAAACTGTTCTCATTGAAAAGAAAATCCTTTGATGTTTGAATAACTCCTGGTGTGCCCTGTGCCAAAAAGTGTTCCGGGCCTTGAGCTGGGTGGAAAGGCCGACGGACTGAATCAGTGTCTGCATATTAACAGTTCCCCAGATGACTGTGTCCAGGCCGAGGAGACTGTCTGCTGCCTCCCCTTTCCTTCTCCTTCTGTCTGCCCTGTCTTTTCTAAGCAACCCTGCCTCTGAATGAGTCCCCTTTTCTCTGATTTGCTTTGTTCACTCCATTCATTTTCCTGTCTCTTCATCTGTATTTCTTCCTGTTCCCCCAAGTTTTGCTTCACATACTTATTTATTTAATAAATGTTATATGCCCTTGCCAAATATGACTTATATAGATGTCCAGACTTGCTTATAATTCGCTGTCATCAGCCCTGTTGATACTTACGAATGTAAATCTTCATCTACTATCATTCTATGGTGCCCATTTCTATCTTTATTTATTCATTCATTTTTATATGCTTTAGATGTAATTATCTACACACAAAATACACATAGGACATGGAAACAGAAGAAGGACTATTTGAAGGAGGGAAGGGCACAGGAAAACAGTGGGGGAGGAAAACATAATGCACAGTGACAGATGTGTATGAAAATTCATAATGAAACTCACTTTGTATAGCAACTTAAATATTCGAAATCAAAGAAATTAAAGGCCTAACCTGGTCAACTAGCAGACAAATCATTTCTATACATACATATAGGCACATAGGTGAGTGATGTATTTCACCACTTAAAAAGGTAGAAAACTGGGGGCCGGAGAGATGGCTCCACAGTTAAGAACACTGTCTGTTCTTCCAGATGACCTGAGTTCAGCTGCCAGCACCTACACCAACCAGGTGGCTCACAACTGCCTATAACTCTAGATTCAGTGATCCTGACGTCCCTTTCTGCCCTCCTCAGGCACACACACACACACACACACACATACACACACACACACACACACACGCACGCACGCACGCACGCACGCACGCACGCTCAGAGAGAGAGAGAGCATAAAGAATGACACCAGGTATCTCTGTCCTCTTACATCCTGTCCAATGGCCTTCTTCTCAGGTGGTTCTGTCCCAGGCTTCCTGGTCTCTTTCCAATACCGGACCAGAGTCTCATGTTGTCAGATTCAAGAATAAACACAGTTAAGTGAGCATAAAAATGGTCACATGTAATTGTGTCAGGAGCCAGTAAGGAATTCTCTCTGGAGTTGGCGCCGTGAAGAGACAGGTCCTGGCTGAGTTTAAAGCTTGGGAAATTCACATTGTGAACTGCATTGAATTATTCAGTTTGATGGGCGAGAGAATAATGGGAATAATAGTATCTGATAGCTACTGATACTGTAAGAAGTCGGTGCAACTGAAGTGTGTGGTGAGTACAATATAAGATGTTAGGTGCAATTATTAATTTTTATTAAATAACTTTCTCGTTGTCTGTGTCCCCCTTCTCTGCATCCGTTGTCTAGAATGAACCGCACCGCCTACACTGTGGGAGCTTTGCTCCTCCTCTTGGGGACCCTACTACCGGCAGCTGAAGGGAAAAAGAAAGGGTCCCAAGGAGCCATCCCGCCTCCAGACAAGGCTCAGCATAATGACTCTGAGCAGACCCAGTCCCCACCACAGCCTGGTTCCAGGACCCGGGGGCGGGGCCAGGGGCGAGGCACCGCCATGCCAGGAGAGGAGGTGCTGGAGTCCAGCCAAGAGGCCCTGCACGTGACAGAGCGCAAGTACCTGAAGCGAGATTGGTGCAAAACTCAGCCCCTGAAGCAGACCATCCATGAGGAGGGCTGCAACAGCCGCACTATCATCAACCGCTTCTGCTATGGCCAGTGCAATTCCTTCTATATCCCCAGGCACATCAGGAAGGAGGAAGGCTCCTTTCAGTCTTGCTCCTTCTGCAAGCCCAAGAAGTTCACCACCATGATGGTCACGCTCAACTGTCCTGAGCTACAGCCACCCACCAAGAAGAAGCGGGTCACACGCGTGAAGCAGTGTCGTTGCATATCCATCGATTTGGATTAAACCAAAGCGGGCACATCCAGCCTGTCATAGCCATGCCAAGAGCCACACCTAAACCACCCGATTCCTACTTGGCTTAAACCTAGAGGTCAGAAGAACCAGCAGTTGCTTCCTGGCTGGAGGCTGCTTATGCATAGTGTATGTGCGTGAGTGTGCATGGGTGTTGTGTGTGTGTTTCCAAACACCAGCGGAAACAGCCTCTGCTAGAAGGCACTTCCTGTTACTCTGCTTCAGATGGTCGGAAACGCCCACACCACCGAACCAGAACACCCACAGGGGCATGGCTGTAGTTGGCTTTGCCTTTGTATTCATGCGCCCTCCTGGGGACCAGGACTTCACTTGAGAATGAATATTAAAGGAAGAGATAACTCCGAGGGCTGCATCAGAACTGGGATCATTCAGTGCTTACCCTTTACTCCCATGACCCATTCCTTTTCTCTCCCTGACATCTTAGTCTTAGCCCATGTCCCTAAATTAATTCTTTGACCATGGGTGTAAATGTTTTCCATCTTGTGAAGAACCTCCAGAATGTGGGAAGACGTGTGTTGGAGGACAAACAGGTGATTGACACAGGAGCGTTGAGGTTGACGACCAGTCTGTGACAGTGAAATTCAATATTAAGATGTCCAGAGTTTGGAAGCTGTTCTCCAAAAATGTGTGCGTCTTGCTTCTGTGAAAGGGTTTTCCTGATATTTAAAAGTACCCAGTGCACAGAGGTGAAATATAATCACACACACACACACACACACACACACACACACACACACACACACACCAATTTTCTGTGTCTGCCTCTGTAACCTACTGATGCTCTCTGTGACCCAAAGTTAAAAGTGAAATATTGACCACTCCTGTTTTAAGAACCAAGAGAGTGAAACAGAAAGAAACATGGCCTCCTACTTTGCCTCTCAAGGGGACAACTGAGAGTCTTGTACACTGGGATAGGAAAAGACAAAAAAACAAAACAACAACAACAACAACAACAACAAAACCTCCTTCGCTTAGTTTTGCTGGATTAACATTGCTTTTCTGTTGTTCCTGCGAAATGCTTCTGAGATGCATAACCTTGTGTTAAAAATTCTTCCTTTGCTGAGCACGTCTGCCAACTAGGAACAGTCTAAGATGAGAGAGCTGCTTGCTCCATTTGAGCTAGACATGAATGGAGCCTTCTCTGCTTTGGCTCTTTTTAGGGAAGAATCAGAGAGAGGGAGGAGTCAAAGGAATTGCAGCTGGCTTGGTAGTGTCTGGAGGAGAGATAAGGGCTAAGACTGCCTCCTCTTCATTTGCTCTTAGGTCTATAAGAAAGTTCCATTAGGAAAGCAGAGCACTAGAGTATATTAACAAGCCACCTACTCCCAGTGGGTCAATTCGGCATTGTAAGCATTATGTCTACTATGGATGTCCTCTGAATACATCTGAGCTCCCCAAATGCCTACTTAGCATTTATGTAAGGGCCAAAATGAAAGGTAGCCTTGATACATTTTGGCTTAGCTAAGCAATGCTCCTTAAGACTGTTAAATGCCCTTTTTGTCTTTTCCTCTCAGAGTCACTAGTCAAGTTATATGTCATTTGGAAGGGCAACATTCACTGCCCATCAAAACTGCCATAAAGAACCATTGGATGTAAAGAAACTTTTTATTTTGGCCTACCCCTCTCCCAGGTGACATCTAAATGGAAACCATGCTGTAAGACAAAAAAGTATTTTGAGGCCATGCGGTGGTAGTACATGCCTTTAATCCCAGCACTCGGGAGGCAGAGGCAGGCAGATCTTTGTGAGTTCGAAGCCAGGCTGGTCTACAGAGCGAGATCCAGGAAAGGCGCAAAGCTACACAGAGAAACCCTGTTTCAAAAAAACCTATCTTGAACCCCCAAAACATTGGGTCTAATTTTGAAAGTTTAAAAGTCACTCATGATTCCACAGCAGATGAATCTGTGCATAGTCTGCGTGTTTAATTTGTACTGTATTGCTCCTTCTCTGAATCTTTGTGTCATCCACATCCACCACCAATAAGTCCCAGGATGGATTTGATCAAGCCCACAAATGCAAAGGCAAAGTTTTCTGAAAATTTAAAACCACACCAGAGATGAAAGATGACAATCAGTGCTAAGAAACATGGAGTGTCTTAATTCTTCCACAAACATGCAGTATGGTTATAAAGTAATAGTTAGGTTAGCAGCCACAGTCACCTTCCAGGAGCTTATATCACGGTCTCTCATATAAGTTGGATTTGATTCATGTAAAGAGGATTGCCTCAAAATTAACTTCATGGCAACAATCAGCAGCATGAGTAGCCTTAAAAGCACATCGCTGGCCAAAGAAGGAAATGCCTGCTTTCCTCACTGGGCCTAGACCAAGACCATCACAAATGAGCATCCTCCATCATTTATTGAAGATGCCCTGTCTGTGGCTTATTTTGGACTCATCAGTGATGTAATGATGTGTATTTTCTCCAACATTGTAGTAGAAACTGTTTCATGGTAAGATAGTTGTGATCTTGATCTTACCTATTAAAATAATGCCAGATACCAAATATGAATTTTATGGTGTTCTCTGTGTGCTTGGCATTGAAAGAGAGACACCACGCACCATGTAAGTCTGAGTGCTTCTTTGCAACTGTACTCTTCACAGCTCAAAGTTATAAGTGAAAATCTGGAGGAAAGGATAATTTCCACCGTGTGGAATGTGAATAATCAAAAAGTTATGGTTATTTAATGTAATTATGAATTCAAGTCCTTTGGTTACTGTGATTTCAAACATGCTTTCTTTCTCTATTTTATATGACGGTCTCTGATTTGGGCAAAGAAGAAACTGGCCACTGTTAAGTTGTTAGGGACTTTTGTCAGGTCAGAGAGAAACACAATATTGTCACATATGAAGAGGTATTACTGAGTTGAGGATGAACTTTTATTGTTTCTTGAAGGCTGACACTTCTGAAACATATTAGGAAACACTTTAAATATTATTTTAAGAGACTTAAAATGTTCATATACAAGTAAATAGAAGACAATGATGGCCACAAATACACATGAACAGAACGTTTCTAAGCAAGAAATCTGAGCTGAAAGAGTGAAAGAAATTCTATTGATTTGTCATTCCTCAAGATATTTAATACCATCTACATTGTATATTTAACCTGCTTTAATCATTGTAAAACAACCAAGGATTATATAGGCTATGATCTAACTACCTTGCTATGGATGAGGGTGAGGTGGGATTTAATGGTCTCATAAAAGCTAATTTGGCTTAAAGGTTTATAAATCTGTAACTAGAATTTTATTTTCACCATAGTAACATTTTATATAACCTTTTGCCAAAAAAAGCAATCAATAAATTAAACATCTTCTTTTTGAGTATGTGTGTTTGAATTTTAACTGGTGGTTGTCTCTCAGCCGGGCCTGGGGGCAGGGATTCACTTGATCCAGAAAGGAAGAAGCAAAGTACTGAAATCTCTCTCGTTTTAAGAGGAATCTATTCATTACAGCCAGATCTCTCTCTCTCTGTCTGTCTCTCTCTGTCTCTCTGTCTCTGTCTCTGTCTGTCTCTGTCTCTCTGTCTCTGTCTCTGTCTCTCTCTCTCTCAGACTTATTTATTTTATGTGTATGAGTGCTCCATTTGCATGCATGCCTGCATGCCTGAAGAGGGCATCAGATCCCACTATAGATGGTTGTGAGCCACCCTGTGGTTGCTGGGAATTGAATTCAGGACCTCCAGAAGAGGAGTCAGTGCTCTTAACCTCTGAGTGTCTCTCCAGCCCCCACCCAGATGTTTCTGATCTCCTTTGATTTCAGTAGCGACACCTCAGCCCCAGGCAGTTAAAGACAAAAGAGGCTGGTTTGTGACTTAATCACCAGCAGTTTTCCCAAACACAGCTAGAAGGAAAGGTGACATAAGACAGAGGCATGCAGAAGGCAGAGGACTTGACACACAGAAATGGTGACAGCCTTTTTACAGTGGGTTAAGAAGGAACGATCGGGAAAAAGATTTTAACAAAGAGTTGTAATGAGGAGAGTGATCAGGAGTATCATGGGCTGACCTGGAGAAGACAAACTTGTTTTTCTTGGAAATATTTTTAAATGTGCTTGATATCACTCCATAGGACTATAAGGAAAGTGAGTTCTCTGAGGTCACGAACGTTTCTCAGAGTTCACCCCCCCCACACACCGCACAGCATTGTGTGGCTTTAGATAGCTGACAACCCCAGCAACCAGGTGTGTAAAGCACCAACAGTGCACATTGTGCTGAGAGTCTCATTTGTGTTGTTCTACAGTCCTCAGGATAGCTCAGCTCAGAAGGCACTGTGGTCCTCCCTCAGAGAAAGTCTTGAACCCTGGTGGTCTTATTGTAACACCTGCGTCCTTAAAAACTAAGATTTTTCTTCAAGTTCAGAAGCACTAAGTTGAAGCTTATTTGTCCACTTCCTCCCCTTTTTGTATACTTGGAGGGTTGGGAGTGGGCTGGAACATTCCGGGGCTTCGGGAAAGCCACATTGAGGAGGCAACATCTGAATAAGGCTGGAAAGCTGTGAGTGGAACTCAACATAGAAGGCATCCCAGGCTCAGAACAACTTCGTTCCCCACAAAAAAAGCAAGGCATATGAGAGTGAATCACTAAAGAGACTAATTTCTGAATTCAAGTCATCCTCCTGCCTCTGTCCTTTTTTTCTGACTGGGTCTATAAGCACTTGTCACTGTGCCCATACTCAGCAGATAAACAAATTCTAAAAAAGTAGAGGAAAACAGAGAAACATGGTAATTTGGAAACCTGGAAATAACAAAAAAAGAGAAGAATTATGAAAAATAACCAAATAAAAAAAATGGAAGGTTGGGAAACTAGTAACCAAAATAAAAACTCATTAGAAGGGCCCCAAAGCAGATTCGAGCAGGTAGAAGATCAAACATGAGAGAGAAAGGAGAGAGAGGTAGGGGAGGGAAGGAAGGGAGAGGAGGAAGAGACCAAACTCAAATAGGACAACTCTACTCCCAGAACCCAGGAGGCAGAGGCAGGCAGATCTCTGTGAGTTCAAGGCCAGCCTGGGCTATAGAATGAGTTCCAAACCAGCTAGGGCTACCTAGTGAGACCCTGTATCAAACAAACATACAAATTGAAACCCAACCAAACAAACAAAAATTTAAGATATGAAAGAGCAAACATCACTCTTGACCTTACAAAAATATTTTAAAATGCATTGTAAAAAATACTATGAATAACTGTATGAAAACATAGTATACACACACACACACACACACACACACAAACACACACACACACACATATGTATAAAGCAGCTAATGGACCCAGGAAAGGCCGCGTGGGACACCACTATAGAGAACAAAAATGTGAAGGGGAGGTGGGAAAGATAGAAAAATGGAGTCATGTGTTATATTGAGAGAGGTGGAACTGGAGATATGATGGAAGTGACCAGGGATAACTCTGGGCCAGGTCTTCTTGGTATTGGGGAACATGGCAGATGTCATTTCCTGCTCTCATGGAGCTTGGAGTCAGATGGTAAAGACAAACTTTCAAGAGGCAATAATGACAAGTAGGATTGACTTGGTGCCAAAAAAAGAGGCCTCGTACCTTATGGAGACGATGCCATGGAGATCAACTCTGGGCTTCCAGCACTGTGTAGTAGTGGGCTGGGTGTGAGAGACACCAAAGAGGCCCCCACCTGCATCCATGAGGCACAGGTAGAGTGGTTACCACTACCATGAGCAAGTATGTGGTGAAGAGATGGTAGATAAAGAGAAGCACAATGGTTAGAGCACTATGAAGAGAGGTGGAACATGAGATGCAAGGGCGATGAGGAACAACCTGATCTAAGTACAGCTGGTGGCCTATGCAGCCACCAGAGGCCATGGAGATGGCCTGGCCAATGCTGTCACTGAGGGCCATGTCTATGGGGTCTGGGTTGATGTCCACGGCCTAGGTTACCACCAAAGGTCATGCAGATGCCCCTGGGTCTGGGCTGCCACCTGGGAACATGTTGATGTTCGAGGGCTGCAGAGAGCTGGCCCTGCCTCTCACCTGGACAGAGAAGGAGAGATGGTTCCACCCATCCACCCCCACTCCCCTCGCTGCCTGTGGCAGGTGAGAGAGTTGGCCTTGAGAGCAGGAGAGATGGTCCTCTCCCTCAATAATACAGTTCGCAGGAGAGCTAGCCTTATACCTCATCTGGGCAGCACAGTAGAGCTATCCCTGGTGGTGTAAGCTTGGAAAGCTGGCCGTGAGGGGTAAGTGTGGGAGGAGAGCCGGTCCTGCCTCTTGCCAGCTGCTGAAGGCAGGAGAGCTGGACCCACCCCTCACCTGGGCAAAGTGGGAGAGCAGGAGGGTTGATCAATTCAACTATCACTCAAGCCCAGATCCAGGGCATTGAGTACCCCCCCCCCCCAGCATCTCTGCTCTATCTAAGAACTGCAGGAGCACATGAAGGGGCCAGTCCTGCAGAACCAAAGCTACAATATCTCTATGACACAGGGCAAGAACAGGATATCTGAGAGGTGTTTTAGTGAGGATCTAGCATTGATAGTGTAGGAGAAGCCAGAGGCCTCAGACCAGACCAATGACTCATTGCAATGAATATTTGCAAGCAAAACCATTTGGGCAAAAGGGTATACTGGGTGATACACTGTGACACACTGTTGCTTCCACAATGAGAGCTTTTATCTGTTTGGGGGGAAGGTTGCAAGGGCAGAAAGTAGATATGGGGGGACTGGGAGATGAGTGGGATTGGGGTGCATAATGTGAAATTCACAAAGAATCAATAAAATGTTTAAAAAATTATAGCAAAACAAAAAGTCTGATTATATTTTTCCCTTTATAAATTTTAGTAAAAGCAAGTCCAACTGCAAAGAATAATAAACCATTAGAAACCTTCCTAAACAAAATTTTGATAATAACCAACCTAATTATGGATTATAGGCTCTGATGACATTCTAAGTCTTACTTCTTCTTCTTCTTTCTCTTCTACCTCATGTTTGGGCAAGTTGACTGGAAAGCGAGGCTCCCTAACGTGGCAGTAATTGAATGATCACAGCATGTAAAACCCTGCCTCATGGGGAACCTTAACTCTCTAATTACCATTAAAACGCAAGTAAGTCTCCTCTCCCTACTTTTCCAAGCTATGTTCAGAACAGAACAGGAGTTAATGATTTTTTGTCCCCTTTGGAGTTGTGTGCATCATTATCATCCAAACAACTGAACCAAATTTTAGGGAGGATTCCATATTGTTTAGTAAACTACTAGCAGGTTTCTTCTTTAAGAGCAGGTGCTATCAGGAATTTTTTACCCATTTCTGTTCAGCATTATACTAGATTCTCTACCTAGGACAGTTACATTAGAAAAAAAAATAGAGAGATTGTCAAAAAAGAAATAATATTTCTATTTTCACATGACATTGTCTTATATGTAGAACCTTAAGGAATTAAAAAGGAACACAGGTAAATTCAGCTAGGATGCAGCATAAAAGACAGCAACTAATCATAATTCTATATAATTTTATAGACTGACAAGAAAAAATATAAAAAATAAGCAAATGATTCCATTTTTCAGTTCTATAAAAAGAAAATATACAAAGATGAAAAGAGTTAGCAAAAACATAAAATCCTTGTTTGCTGAAATATAAAATATTGCTTACAGATATTTAAAAGTACCAAAATTGCCAGGCTGTGGTGGTGCACACTTTTAATCCCAGCATTCTGGAGGCTGATGCAAGGCCAGCCTGGTCTACATAGTGAGTTCTACAACAGCCAAGGCTGTACAGAGAAACTCTGTCTCAAAAAACCCAAGCCAAACCAAAACAAAAAACAAACAAACAAACACCACACAAAACTAAACTAAACTAGTCAATTGAAGGGCAACCTTTACCCATGGCTTAGAAGAACTGGTATTGCCCTACACAGTCATCACAAGGTCTATCAGCTTAGAAGAACTGGTATTGCTCTATGGAGTCATCACAACATCTATTGGCTTAGAAGAATTAGTATTGCTCTACGCAGTCAACACAACTTCTATTAGCTTAGAAGAACTGGAATTGCAGTCATCATAAAGTATCAGCTTTCAGCTGGCTTCCTTCTAGAAACTGACAAGCTGATCCTAAACCTCATAAAAAAATCTTAAACTCAGAATAGTCAAAACTGTCTTTAAAAACTAACAATATTGAAGGATTTCCTGATTTTAAAATATACAGAAAAAAACAAAAAAATGAAAACAATTGTTACCAGAACAGGCATTCTTCTGTCAATCATTAGGTTTGGAAACAGAAACTCCCATTTCTCCAAAACTCTTTTATCCCAACTCCACTTTAACTTTTCCTACATACCAGTAGCAACCAGTTTCTTAAATTACAAAGTCC